TATGGATATAAGTGTTTTCCTATTGGGTGAGATCATGCTCGTTGCATCGAAATGAACTCTTCCTCAAATTAATAGCTTATCCACTAGCCGCAGAGTATCTATGGAGAAGAAGCAGAAACTTATCAATGTTTCTCTTTTCTCTATTACCAAAAAGCAACATGTCATCTATAAATAGAAGATGAGAAATTACCTTGTGGTTACAACCCATGTAGTATGGGGTGAAAAAGTCTTCAACTATCATGGCATTAAACTTCCTAAAAAATACTTCATGCGCTAAAATGAATAACGATGGAGACAATGGGTCTCCCTATCTCACACCTCAAGTAGATTTAAAGAAACCAAAAAACTTGGAGTTTAGTTGAATGGAGTACTAATAGTTAGAAACACATTAAAAAATTAGCTCACACCACTCGTTAGTGAAGTTGAATTTTTCGTAACTCGCATGAGGAAATCCCATCGTAGTCTATCATAAGCCTTCGACATGTCCACCTTGAAAATGATTTTACTTTTATGAATCTTTCTATCAATATGATTAAATAACTCTTGAGCTAAGGCCACACTCTCCGGATGTATCTACCTTTAACCGAAACCCGATTGTTCTTTGAAAATTAGAGATGGGAGCACAACACCCGTACTAGAAGTGATGATCCGAGATAGGATCTTGTATGTGAAGTTATAGAGATTGATTAGGCACATATCTACAAACTTGGTAGGATTTAGGCGTTTCGGAACCGTAATCAAAGAAGTTGTAGTTACTCCTTTTGGAATCTCTCCCCATGAAAGACTTCTTATATCGCAAGCACCATATCATTTTTTATAGTGTTCTAGCATTCTTTGAAAAAATCCTATAAAACCATCTAGACTAGTAGTACTCGAGCTCATCAAGTTAAAAAATCACCTCCCCGATTTCTTCCTCTTATGGTATACTCATAAGGGATTCATTTTGAGTATCGGTTATCGTGGAAGGCGGGATGTTAAGAAAGTCTTCCTCTATCATGGTAGTATCACTCTTAAAGATATTTTAAAAGTAATCAATAGCTATACTCGTCTATATGGTCTTCATCTTTACAAACCGAACCATCCTCCAATGTTAGAGAGAGACCAGATTTGAGCCTTCGATTTCATACACAAGCATGAAAGAAGGTAGATTTATGGTTACATGTTTATAGGCATTTCACTCTTGATTTTTCTTATAGTAGTTGTTCCTCTTGTTCTATTAATGATGCTAGTTTGTCTTTAGCCGTTAGAGCCTTACCGAGTTTTTCTTCACTCCATGAGTTTTGTAAGTCTCGCTTCCATTTGAATAAGCTTATCGAAGCATCATTTACCTTCCATTTAATGTCCCCAAAAACTATCCAATTCCACACCTTTAGTTCATGTTTAAGATACTTGAGTTTCAAGTGCGATTTAGAAACAAACTATTGCTAAATGATGACTTCCAAGTGATCGCTCACAAAGGATTGAAAACTATCATGAGCTATCCATATTTTCTTAAATGCAAACCTAGTAGGTCTTAGGTTATCTACAACCGAGTGAAAGTAGCAATGGAAAGTGGTCCAAATGTATACGGGATAGGTATGTGCAAGATAGCCTTGGAATGAGGGCAATTGTTACAGCCTTTACCAGTACCTTGTTTAGTCTTTTCCGGATATGAGCGGAACCCTCGTGATTATTGCACCATGTGTATTTTCTTCTTAAGTATCCAACATTCCGAACCCCAAGCAAGTTGATACCAGCTTTGAAATCAAACATTGAACCCGACACTGTTTGTGATTATGCACCTTCCGCCTTTTTAGTCCAAGCTTTGCTATTGCATTGAAGTCACCTCCTAATATCCATGGGAGAGTGATATTGAGAGCCAGCAAGTTGCCCCATCGATTCCTTCTTTCTCGCTCTATCACGAACTTGTGTAAACAAGCAGTATAGTTTATGATTTTTGTATAAAGCATATCCCTTACCGTAGCAACCTTAACCTAATTCCTTACAAAAACTTCATATAACTTAGCCGTTTTAGTTATAGAAAACTCAATAAATAAATAAAAATCACTTAGGAATGTTAAAACCTCATATTAGAAAGATTAGGAATTTTTTTTTTACGGACAACGAGTTACACGGCCTCCCACACGCCGTGTAGTTGCCCGTGTAATTTAAAATCTCATTTTTCCTTGAAAACGAAGGTTACACGGCCTCTCACACGCCCGTGTACCTTCCCATATATGTTTCCGCCCAAAAAAGGGTAATTCTTCAAAAACGAAGGTTACACGACCCGTACCTTCCCATGTACGTTTCCGCCCAAAACAAGAGTTTTTTTTCGACCATAACACTTCAAAACCTAATAAAAACCATTATTTTCGCTTATAACCCTTGGATATTCAATCAAAACCACTTTTTCTTTGTTCATAAACACGTCACAAAACACATCCAGGAGTTCATATTTACACATTTACATATACAATTCAAAAATCTCCTAAGATGTATATGCTCGGTATAATGAGAGAGAGGAGAGGGAGATCGTCGACTAACTTTTCACTCATGACGTAAATTGAATAACAAAAGATGACTTAACTTCCACTTCTTGATTCTTAGCACCTAAAAACATAATTGCATTTTTAATTAGATGCTACTCAATGAGGGATATAATCTTGATACTCTAACACACATATATACATTTTCACATCATTAACCAAAAGCACATTCATGACACAAACATAAGCATTTATATAATTCATACATGTTCATATATCAAAATACTTGTATGTATTCTTTTCTTGTCGGTTATGACCAAAACATGTCAAGTATCACCTCGAGAACTTGTAACATATAACTTGTAAGCTTATAAGCTTATAACTTGTACTCGCTGGCCAGCTTGTATCCTTGTATTTGACCCATTGGGTCCTTGTAACTTGTATTTGTGATTACTTGGACATGACGGTCATAACCTTACCCTTTTATCTTTCATACGTCATGAATGCCCCATATAACTTGTACTTATACATAATAACATTCATGGCTCATAGAATGAATCATCAACACATGCTTGTATATAGCACTTTCATAGCATCAAAACATAATTCATACACAAACATTTGTTCACCATATTATTCGGAAAAGTCAATAACATCACATGGCAACATAAACACATAGTATCAATCAATTATATCCACTCACAAAAATGACATCTTCGTCGTTTGTCAACGCGTTGCGTCTTGCACCTCACACTCCTTGACATCAATAAACACATACACATATACTTTTATAAGTCATTTTATCATGATCAAACTTCTAAATATGCTCGAGGTGCAAAATATGACTTTAGGGTTAACTTATTTCTTTATGGGTACTTGACCCCTTCGTACTCTTTCTACCATAAGTCCCAAAATACATATTCAAATGATGCAATTCTAGTTTCACATGAAACTAGATTCATATGGCTCTAACATATCCAAAAATAAAGTCTAGGTACGAAATACACAACTCATGGTGATTTTCTAAAAATTAGATTTGCTACAGGATTCATTGAAAATCCGAACGACTTACTTGCAAGGGATAAAACGAGAGGATATACTAGCTATCTTAAGCTTAAATTTAACAGGGTACTATTTTAAGGTATTATCTATAACTTTTATTTTTTAACCTTCTTCACAATATGACTCAAAAATCTCGAATTAAGCAAGTATAAAAACATTATTTCAGGAGCTACATACCTAGTTTTCAGCTTGCCGTGGAAAAACTATGGTTTTTCCCTTCTTTTTTCCTTTTCTTTTCTCTCTCTCGGTTCACTCCTTTTTTCCCAGCTAGGGATTACAAAATAAAGATGAAGAGATGACTTGAGATATATATATATATCTTGGCAAAGTTCATTTTGGTCCCTCAAGGTGTGGCTTGTTTTTATTCTAGTTCTCCAACTTATATTACTTCGATTGAGCCCCTATTTCTTCCTATTATTCAAAATACTTATTATCCAATACCCTACTAACATGTCATATGCAGGTATAATTATATAAGTGTGCGTGTATGCATGAACGAGTGTATGTTTTTGGGACGGGGTTATTACACTTACAATAACTATAATAGATTGGAAAGATACGACCTATATATTCACCTCCGAGCTATCCTTCCATAAATCCAAATATGGTGCTTAAATGGGTTATCATAAAGAAAAGTAGGGAAATTGAGAGCCTTTGCTAGTTTAGCCGACTTCTCTCCCGATTGCTTAGGCTCTAAGAGAATAAGAAGAGATATCCGATGGTGAGCAACCAAATGTTTCAAACATCTCCATTTTTCTATGGCACAAATGCCTCTAATATTCCAAATGAGACTAATCATTAGGTAGAGGAAAAAAAGGCTTGTCATTATGGTATCGCTCGGACTTTGTTAGATGCATGTTGCTAAGTTGCATTAGACTCTTCAACAACTTCTTTTTCTATTTTTTTGACATTTACCTTGAAACTCCATAGCTCGTATTAGGTCTTGGAAGGTCTATGATACCCATTTTTGCTTCTCCACAGTCTCATTTTGAACCCACATGAGGAGATACATTAGCATTGAAATGAGAGGTTAATGCCTCATCATCCCAAACCTTGTGATCTAGGGAACTAAATGAATTTATAGCTATCATTCTCTAAGCTACAACCAAGGTGAGAGGAGAGCCGGTTATCTTGTTCGATGAGTTGGTTGTATGTTGGTGAAGATGACCAGTTGGAGTATGCTTAAAGACACTCATGTTCTTGGGAGTAGCTTGAATAATAGGCACACAAGAAGCCTTTGAAACCATCAACGCAGACCTTGATCCCGAAGCAACCTTTGCATTCATACCTTTTGTGCTCGACAAGTGTGATCCATAACATTAATAGTTACTCGTACAATCTGCTATATTAGTTAAAATAGAGATTGGCTCCTTAATCACGTCGGTATTTGAAGCCCTAAGTAGAGTATCTATAACCATCCGCAAGGAATCTTCAAACTTTTCCCTTTCATAATCCATGATAAGGAATAAGTACACCCATGAGGAAGGAAATCTAAGTCTTTTTGCATGGTACTAAAGCTCCTAGCCGACGTTAATACCGGAGCATCAACAATTCCAATAATTCCAAACCGATCCTTTACATGCATGCCATCTAACTTAAGCGTGGGGCTTATAAATTTTATGCACATTGAATTATCCTCATCACTTAGTATGTGAGAACCTTGCTTCAAATTTCCATCGACATGTGATATCAACCTTTGTGTATGGCACTCGTACTCCCCATTAGTCTTAGAAATTGTACTTACTTCCTTAGCCTATGATCCATAATTGGTAGATGCCTATGAAATACTAAGGTAGGTAATCATTACGAGTAGCATTAGTCGAATAGCTATGCGGAATAGGGTAGCTTCCGAGTGGTATCTTTACGAAGACCCATGGAATTGATATTGGTTGTAACATGTCCACGGGCATTAAAAGCATGATCATCCATCTTTCTTTGCATGTAACCGTATTCCCTAGCCAAAATGGATACTAGCTTCTCTTGGAGATACCTTTTGAACCCCTACACATCTCTCGTTCTTATTATTGATTATAGTGGGATGAAAATCCGAGCATATTTGAGACTTGTCCAATCCTTGCCCCTCTTTTCGAACCCGAAGTATGGCCTTGCTTAGAGGAATACTATATGGAAAGAGATTCAAGAACTCTTTTATCTTTAGCAACGAAGCCGAGTGGGATTACCCTATTTGAGAGTCGACAATCTTCATTGCTTGTGAATTTTATTGTGCTCCTAAAAGAGTGCTATCGTGTGCCCTTTTTATTAACAATGTGCAATACTTTCTCTACCATTGATTGGATAGATCGCATTACATGAGTAACATGGTGTATCCGTGGAATCAATAGTTGCTTGCTTTTAGGAAACTTATGACAATTGTGTATTAAATGGCTTTGCAATTTATAGTTATGACAAAAAGCAACATTGGACTCCACTACTAATAGGTCGCTATAAGCATTTGTTTCTATCGGTACCAACCGATATCCATATTACGGGAGGGATAGGAACTATCAAGTCGACTTCAACACAACCTTGAGCATGCATCGAGTGAGAACCGGATCTTGTTCTTTCATTTGGATGTAAGAGATGTTCGAAAGGTCTTACAATTTCTTGTAACAAAGCGAGTAGGAAAAAAGAGATGGGCAAGCCTCGGAAGTTTAATCCAAACCATCGCCATTGGAAACTCGGCTTTCGTGTTGAAGGATGAATCCCATTTGAATAAACAAAATGGACGAGTTACCAATAAGATAAGCATCCCGAGTCCAGGCCTTGATAAAATCTACTTTGTGAAATAAGTGAATGAACACAAGATGAGGATCCATGAGTCCAATTATAAGAGCTTTGATTAACCCCTAGTGTTACTGAATATGATCTTGAATGTCGTTAATCGGGGGTGTCCCTTAGAGAATTTCTCCACCAAGGAGAAGTGGAAATTTTTTCGAATGTTGTAACTCTACATTTGAAAAAACCACGCCGGTTCTCCTTTAAAAAAATGAATGGGACTTGGGAGTAATGTCTAGGGTAGGAAATAAGTGCCAAGATTCAACTTGATAAGTTGTAATAGATGTATAAGACCCATTATAGCTTACATTCTTTTCAATTGTTGCATCAAGAATCGAGGATGGTTTAGTAGGGTTTGAGAGGGACGAGTAGAGGATTTAGAGGTGATAACCTCTACATAGGTTAAAATAGGGTTTATGTGAGGGGGTGTGTAACATGGTTTGTGGTCACTCCCCGTGAGAGAGGGGCCTCGGAGGGTCGAGTAAGAGAGTCGATATGGAGCTATATGAGACTATTTGTGGCATCTCCTAGTGGGGGATTAGCCCTAGAGGGTTAAGAAATAAGGGCGAGAGATAGGATAGGTAGAGAGGCGGAAGAGGGGGAAAGGGTAGGAGGAGTCTCCCCACTGGGGGATCTTGAGGTGGTAGATCTATGGCCGGTCGTTAGAGTTCATGGCCACCATAGGACTAGGGTTTTGTCATAAATGGTGAAATATTTTTTGATTTATATTTAAAAAAGGTGTAAAAAAGGGGGTGCAATACGAGGACTTCCCAGTGGTCATCCATCCTAGTACCAAGCTCGTTTAACTTTGAAGTTCTCATGGGATCCGATGCATTAGTGCTGGTATGATCGCACTCAACAACTTATCAATTAGCTATAATTTTTTTCTATGTTTTTAGTTTTCATATAATTTTGCTTCTATTCAATTAAGTTAGTGGTGAAGGTTGAGTCCTAATGTTTGTGTTAAGCCAAACTTCTTTGGTTTAGGTTGTCCGATCTCCATTTTACTTTATGTTTAAGTGTTAAATTTTACGAGCTCAATATTTATATTTTCCTCCTTATTAATAATTTATATTGATTTATTATATATTAAAAACTAAACTTATTGTAAGAAGGCATAAGTATATAACTTATACAAAGAAGTATTCTTGGAATAATAGACTTTTTAATCAAGCAAATCATTTTTTAGCATTCATTTGAAATTTAAAAAAATAATCTATTTTTTAATAAAAAATAATTAAACTAATTTCCTAATAAATGTAATATTAGGTCACAGAGTTAAAAATATATGTTAGCTTCATTGACATATGGAGTTTCAAATTTCATAGTTAGCATCTAAAAAATTTATCAAACTTTTCCAAACACACTTGATTAATGTAAGTATTGTATCCTTAAGTTGGCTCAAGGTTGGAATTTTGTCTCGATTGACGTGCAAGCTAGTTCGAGGTAACCTTTACTATTTATAAAAAAAGAAAAAAATATATGTCATAGCAATAAAGTCTCGAGTATAAATATTCTAAAAATGAAAATGAAAGAAGGAATAAAAATCACAATAAATACAAAGTAATCTAATCAAAAGATATTTTAACCAAAATGGGCAAATTGATCATTTTGTTTCCATATAATACCTACGAGTCTCCCATTGATTACATACGTTGATGCAAAAAAAAAAAAAAACAAACAAACAAACAAACAAACAAGAGAAGGAAAAATTGCATGTCATGGCATTAAAGCCTCATTATCAACATTTTATAAATGAGAATAAGAAAACAGAATAAAAATCTCTAGAAATACAAAGTAATCACATCAAAAGATATTTTAAGCAAAATTGGTAAATAGATTAATTTAGTCTAATATAATACCTATAGCCTCCCATCTATCCCTAACTTTTTTTAAATTTTCAACATGTCCTTCGACAAATTTTTATAATCATAGGATTATTTTGATCAAAATTACCCCGATTTAAATGCAAAAAAAAAAAAAAAAAAATCTCCGGACTTCAAAAAGGGAGCAAGCATGTGATGTAACTTTAAGTGTTTTTTTTTTTTCATGTCAATAAAAGGCATTTTGGTAAAAAAAAAAAAAAAAAAAAAATTGCCCATGGTAGGAAACTTTAATTGAAAGGATAAATTAAAAATTTTAAAATTTTTTAGGAACATACAAGATGCAATCAGAAATTTGAGGACAAATGAAAGACTTTGGACATTATATAAAGACATGTAAATCTATTTACCTTCAAAGAAAATAAGAAAAAGGAATAAAAATCTCCGTAAATTAAAAGCAATCATTTCAAAAGATATTTTAACTAATAATATCCAAATCATTAGTTTTCTTTTCTATAAATATAGGTAAAATGCAGTTTATTCAGTCTTGCAAAAAATAAAAAAATTGTTGTCAAATTCAACGGAAAAGATATGGAGAAAGTTTCTCTAAAGATGAGCTTCTTGGCTACTATTTTGGTGGTTGCATCTTGTAAGTCTCTTTCTCTGAATTAGAACTTTTTGATATATACATATGTATACAAAATTATATAAGATGCATACCTATGATGCATAACTAAACCCATATACAAAAGTAAAATCATATATAAATATATGTATCATGTATGATAGGACACACATCAATGCACCATAATTATATTAATTATAATTGAAAAGAAATTGAAATTGATCTTGTTAAATTTTATTTTCTCGGCCAAAATACAATAAAATCAATAAAGGATTGAAACTTTTGATTCAGGTATGCCCTTCTCAAAAACAACTGGAGCTGATGTCGATGTGATTGCTGAAACTAAACAAGAAAGTTTTAAGGAGCTAGTCATGCAAAAAGGTCCTTGTACAAGTGATCATGATTGTCTTCAATATTGTCCTCCACCCCGATGCAGTGATAGACAGTGCGAAATTAATGTGGGTCGCTGTGTATGTTCTTGTAATGGTTAGAATATAGTATAAAGTAATAAAGATTTAAAGAGAAATCCTATAATACCAAAGTGTGGTTGAATAAAATGCTTAATGAAATGCAATTTTTTGGCTTTTTTAGACTTGTTTCTTTTCAACTTTTTTGACACTTCATTTTTTTGATATGTGTATATGCGCACACCCAATTACAGAAAGTAACTAGCATTAATATACAAAATAGAAGTAAAGACACAACGTTTTTCTTCTTTGTTATTCGTAGATGTTGCTGCCAGACGTAAAGGAACATTAGAAAAATGATTGGAAAGAAAAGCTTTGAAATACGAGTCGAAGACCCCCAAAAACATGATTTTCAAACACTCTTGTTTTCTAACTTATGGATTCCAATTATATCAATCATTATTTGTTTAGTCTTTTTTATAATCCTATTAGCAAATTTATTAAGTAAAAAATTAAGATAATTCTAAAATATGATTTTTGAAATATTCTCTCAACCTAACTTGTCTCATTCTCATTTATTTGATTTGGACCTTTGAAATCCAAATTTATCAACATGCAAATATTTTTGACCTAGACATCCATTTTTTCGAAATTATTTGGGCTCAAGTTCATTTATTGGATATTTTGGAGTTTAAGCACGACGCGGCGTGATATAAATTTTTGTAACATAAATTCCCCATCATTCCAATCATGTTAGCTCAAAATAAATAAATTAAAACACATCAATACAAAAATTTAAATAGCTTTGTAACCTCGAAGGGGTTGACAAGTACATTAAAAAAAAAAAAAGGACAGATTGTTGCAAAATCTCATCAAGCTGTCATTGAATCTTGAAATTTAGAATCTTGTCCACTTAAAGTCAGATCCATATACAAATTCTCATGCAGATACATATGGAGAAATTATGACAGGTAACAAAATAAATAAATAAGACAAAGACAATCAATTCAATTTAAAATTTAATCTTATTTTGAAACAAACAATTGCCAAATTATTTTTGTACCTAAAAATAATTTTGCAAAATCCTCAGATTTTGATAAAATGCATGGTCATCTTGAGTTTTAAAAGTTCGAAATTCTGTTTCACAATTGAGTTCCTTTTACAAATAAACAACAATCCTATCAATAATGCTTATATAATATAATAACAAAAGCATCCCTCAATCTCATGCAACATAAAAGGAAAAAAAAAAAAAAGATGAAGAAGAAGAAGAAGAAATATACATCTTTGAATGTCTCATGTAATTTATTATCATCTAATAGAAGAAAAAACACCAAAATCTACTTTTACGTGTGTTTCTTTCTCATAAATAATAATTATAGAAAACACAACGACTTATCAATTAACTATTTTTTTTCTATGTTTTGAAGTTTTTCACTAGTTAGATGCCCACGTCATGCTCGTAAGTAGACAACCATTAAATAAGTTGGGTTAACGATTAATGTGATGTAATATGAGTAGAAAGTTTTATTTTAGTGATTAATATAAATTGAATTTATATATAGTTAATTTTTAACAAAACTAATATATATATATATATATATATATATATATATTTCAAAGTATATAGAATAAATAGAAAAATTATATAAAAAAGTCCACCTAAATTGTAGAAATATATTGAAGTCAACATATTAAAATAAAAACTACAACAAAATTGATTCGATAAATATATATATATATATATATATAAGCAAATAGTAATTGTTATTTTTTTTTTAACCCATCATTGTTATTATTACTTTAGAATTGAGTCAAACTATCTAAAACATACTTTTAGCTCTCTCTCTCTCTCACTCCCCCCATATATATATAATTAAAAAAACATTTAAAAATATAAAAATAATTTATTACATAAATTATAATAATATATTTTAAAAACTAAAACATTGACGTTCTAAAATTTTATTGCAAAATTCATATATTAAAAAACCAAACTTATTAACAAATAAAATTATATCAAAAAATTAAAATATTAATTTAATGAGAATTTTAATAAGAAACAAATAATTAAAGAAATAAATTAATATAGGTTCAAGGACATTGAAGGGACCAATAATATATATGTTTTCTTTCTCGGTGAAGGGACCAATTATATATGACCGCTTAACTTATATAGCACTTGTTAGAGGTCCTGTCATACTATGATGATATGTATATTCTTTTAAGGATTTCCTTTTGCCACTGTAAATAAATAAAACGCTACAAGTACATGAACATGAAAAACTCTAGCTCTTTTAGGTTTTTTTTTTATATAATAATTATAATATCCGAAATACCCTTCTAGCTCCCTCTTTTTCATCGAATTAATATATGCAACAACGTCATTTTCATTGAAAAATCATAAAAAATAATCAATCATATAAATTATAATAATATATTCTTTTAAAAAAATAAAACAATCAGAGTTGAAAAAATTTATTTCAAAAGCCATGTATAAAAAATCAAATTTATCAACAAATAAAATCATATAAAATTTAAAAATTAATTCGATGAGAATTTTAATAAGAAACAAAAAATTGAAGACATAAATTTTAAATAATAAAAATAATGTAAAAAGATATATATATATATATATATGTTCAAATTAAAATTTTAAAAAATATTATATATATTCTATTACTCGTTAAACTATACATAAAATAAAAACAATAACGATCTTTTTTTTATATATATATTTTCACACCTAATTTCATGATAAAAAATACAAAAATAATTTATTTATATAGAAGGGGAACAATTGTCATCCGATATTTAAATAAATCATTTATTAATAAATATTATATTATTATACCAATATATTTAAAATAATATTTAACTAATACAATGTAATATTAATTTAATTATATGGTATAACTATCAAATATATTATATCACTAAAAATTTATTTCAAAAGCCATGTATAAAAAAATAAGAATTATTTACAAATAAAATCATATAAAATTTAAAAATTAATTCGATGAGAATTTTAACAAGAAGCAAAAAATTAAAGAAATAAATTTTAAAAAATAAAAATAATATAATAAGATATATACGTTCAAAATAAAATTTTAAAAAATATCATAGATATTCTATTACCGCCAAACTATACGTAAAATACAAAAAAAAAAAATTTATATATATTTTCACTCCTAATTTCATGATAAAAAATATAAAAATAATTTATTTATATAGAAGGAGAAAACTTGTCATATGATTTTTAAATAAATCATTTATTAATAAATATTATATTATTATACCAATATATTTAAAATAATATTTAACTAATACGATGTAATATTAATTTAATTATATGGTATAACTATCAAATATATTATATAACTAAAATACTTTTCAGTTTTTATATATATTCAAATTCATAAAATAATATATTAATATATTATTTATATCATAATTTAGAATAATAAAAAAATTATATTGTATAATAAATAAAATATTTTCAATAAAAATACAAATAACTATTTTATAATAATTAATTGATTTTTTTTTTGTAAAATATAATGATAATATATTATAATTATTAACTATAAATACTTTTAATATTTAAAAACTATATATTTCTAATAAATAAGGACCTAAATAATATATTTGATCATATAATAATAGTCCTACAAATATAGAAACTAAAAAGAAAAAAAAGAAAAGGTGGCCAGATGTTAAAAAAAATAAATAAATAAACAAAAAAGCACTGCATAAATACAATATTCACAATCAAAATACAAATAACTATTTTATAATAATTATTTGATTTTTTTTTTGTAAAATATAATGATAATGTATTATAATTATTAACTATAAATAATTTTATTATTTAAATAAAATATATTTCTAATAAATAAAGACTTAAATAATATGTTTGACCATATAATAATAGTCCTCCAAATATAGAAATTGAAAGGAAAAAAAGAAAAAAGGAGGCCTGGCATTATAAAAAAAAAAAAAAAAGCAATGCTTAAATACAATATTTACAATCAAAATACAAATAACTATTTTATAATAATAATTTGATATTTTTTTGAAAAATATAATGATAATGTATTATAATTATTAACTATAAATAATTTTATTATTTAAACAAAATATGTTTCTAATAAATAAGGATCGAAATAATATATTTGACCATATAATAATAGTCCTACAAATATAGAAACTGAAAAAAAGGAGGGCGGACATTAAAAAAACAAAAAGCACTCGCTATTTTTTGTAAAATATAATGATAATATACTATAATTATTAACTATAATAATAGTCATACAATTATTAACTATTATAATAGTCCTATAAATATAGAAAGTGGAAAAAATAAAAGGGGAATGGTACATTGAAGTTCTAGCATCTCAACCCCAAAAGGTAATAAATAAATAAATAAAAAGGAGGCCGGACCTTAAAAAAAAAAAAAAAAAGATTGCTACATTAAATGAAAATGGTAAAAAGGACCAAAAAATTAGTTTTCAAACCAAATGGACTAATTAATTTATTTCTCAAAGAATTATTATTTATTTATTTATTTATTAAAACAAAAAATAAAAATAGTAAAATGGTGAAAAGGACAAAAAAAATTGTTTTCAAACCAAAGAGACCAACTAATTTATTAATAATAACAATAGTTTTACAAATATAAAAAGTGGAAAAAAAAATGGGGAATGGTAAAAAGGAGGCCGGAGCTTAAAAAGAAAAAAAATTGCTATTGAATCTTTCCTACCAAATGCTTCATATTATCCGAAGTAACATCCTAAGGGACATATGCTTCATTCAAAACCTTTTATAGTACTTTTTGATGTGGTTCTGAACTCATGATTAGTGATAGTAAAGAGATCTTAGTGGGTATCATCTTCAATTAGTCTATCACACTATAGTCACTATTTTTCATCACTTTGAGGAACTCAATGGCTTCCTCATCATCAACGGTTGTTCACCTCCCTTACCTTAGTGACATCTATTACTTCTTTATGCTTCTCTTTTCTCAACTATTTTAGAGTGTAGCACCTCCTGCTTCGGGTGAG